GTAGCATTGCTACTCAAGGATGACTTTTCTGGGCTCATTTTCTGTTACGCACTTCCGAACAGTCAACAAGAGACCCTTATTTCAACGCTTTCACGTTTTTCTTCGTACATTTGGCGCCAATGGAGGCTCCAAGTATGCGTCGTTCACCGGGATAACGACCGTGGACTCCAGTCCGGGTACGTTACATGGATAGATGATGAGGGCATTGAGGATGAACCTACTGCTCCTCACACACCGGCACAGAACGGCCCTGCCGAGCGTTCTGGGGGGGTGATAGGCGCAAGGGCTCGGAACATGCACGTCGAGGCGAATCTCGATGATGATATGTGGCCTGAGACCTGGACCGCCGCCACCTACCTATACAACCGGTCACCTCAACTTCGCGAGAACTGGAAGACTCCTTTCCAAAGGCTACACGAGTGGCTTAGGGACAGCAACCGAGACACAGGTTACTCAGCGAATCCTTTACCCGACATCACTCACCTGAAGGCATATGGCTGTAGAGCATATCCTTTAACAACTACTGTGCTTGAAGGTACTCAGAAGAGAGACCTTAAGACTCAACCACACGCTGAGATTGGATATCTCGTGGGATACGATTCCCATAACATTTACCGCATTTGGATTCCATCACGCTCGGAAGTCCGCCGAGTCCGTGATGTCACTTTCGATGAATCACAGGTCTACCAGAAATCTGCTGGAGACATTCCCCTGATCATTAAAGAACCAGAAATCCCGTTCCCAGAGCACATCGACTCTGAGTCAGAGGATGAGGAGCCCAACGATCAGATGGTTTCTCAGTCCGCCCTGAAAACGCGTGTGCTTCCAAGATGAGGCACCACAACTGCTTCCCCCAAAGCAACCCCCGGACCCACATGACACGATTTTTGTTGCTGCCCGGGAGGCCCCGCCTCTAAACCCCGAGCCTGAGCCAAATCGAGTGGACAAGACTCCTCAAGAGCCAACTAGACGCTCAGCCCGAGTTCAAGCGAGAAACAGTCTCATCCTCAGCTTCCTTTCACGCTGCATTTCGAACAGCAAGGGAGGAACGACTCCACAAGCGGAGCCTTCCCCCTGAACCACGATCCTGGAGAGAACTCGACTCTCACCCCTTTGGAGACCAGTTTAAACTTGCTGGCAAAACTGAAGTTGATGCACTCTTTTCCCGAGGCACCTTCAAACCCGTTCGGCGCGATCAGATGGATCCGACCGCTGGAAGACCCCTTCCCCTCACTTGGGCTTTCAAGTACAAATTCAACAAGCATGGTTACCTGACCAAGTTCAAGTCCCGCCTCTGCGTCCGCGGAGACTTACAAGAAACCAACAGCAGGGACACATATGCCGCGACGCTTGCAGCGCGCAACTTTCGCATAATGATGGCCCTGATGTGCAAGTTCGACCTCGAATCATGGCACCTTGATGCTGTAAACGCTTTTGTGAACGCCGAGTTAGATGAACTCGTGTACGTTGAATTCCCCGATGGATTTAAACGTTTTGGCTGGGTTCTCAAGCTTCTCCGAGCCCTGTATGGTCTACGAAGATCACCCTTGCTCTGGCAGAAGGAACTCACGACCACCTTTGAAGAACTAGGCCTCAAGACCTGTTCTGATGAACCATACATCCAGGTAAATGACTGGTGCATCATTTTCTTCTTTGTGGATGATATCTCGATTCTTTATCGGAAGAAGAACGAGGATAATGTCAACCATCTAATCACACAGCTACAAAGCCACTATGAACTCACCAACCAGGGTGAAGTATCTTGGTTCCTTGGGATCCGAGTCATTCGAGACCGAGATGCCGGTAAGGTTTGGCTTTGCCAAGATTCGTACATTGACAAGATTGCAACCCAGTATGGAATCACTAAGAAATCTTTCTTCCGAGGCAATCCGCTGCCCGGAAATTCTCTTCAACCTCACGACGGACAGGCCACTCCTGAAAGCGTGAACCTTTTTCAACAGAAAACGGGATCGATCAATTTTGTGGCGATATCAACTCGACCCGATGTTTCCTTTGGTGTCAGCAAATTGGCTGAACACATGATGAATCCGTCTCCCAAGCACCATGAAATCATGGATCGGATGCTTGAGTATCTTTTTGCAACACGATTCTTCGCGCTTGAGTTTTCAGGAAATTCCAACGAGCTCCAACTTCTTACCAAGCCGAAGGAAATCCGGATTGCTACCGACGCTGCTTTCGCGGATAACCCTGATTCGAGGAAATCCTCCCAAGGATGTCTCATCACTCTCTTCAATGGTCCAATTTGGTGGAACGCTACGAAGCAAACCACTGTTACTACTTCTTCCACTGAGGCAGAGCTCCTCGCCTTCACCCACACGGCCAAAGAGACTCTCAGCCTCCTCCGATTGTTCAAGCAAATCGATCTGGAGCTTGACAACGACCCCGTTATTGAGTGTGACAACACACAGACGATCAGGCTCATCACAGCCGACGTTCCACGTATAAAAACTGCTCTCAAACACGTCGATATTCACAACGCCTGGGCAAGGCAAACGTTTCAAGAATGCCACTTTGAGGTCGAGTACATCCCAACGAACCAAATGATCGCGGATGGTCTCACCAAAGCACTGCCTGGCCAAGCCTTCAAGGCCTTTGTTCAACAACTTGGTCTCATTGACATTTCTCCACGAGTTCACCACGTTCCCTCTGACGATGAGGAGTGAATACCACACAGCCTGAGGGCTTTTCCCTCAGACTGGGGGGGTGTGTCGCATTCAGGATGCGTATAATGAAATGCGCGGTTGATAAGCGATGTCATCGAACTTTCTAGATAACATTACAAAAGCACCCTGGGTGGCAAGTGGCAATTCGCCACCGCAAGGCAGTCATATTCCCTCAGGACTATAAGGAGACAGAACTTCTCACATTCATTTTAGATAGACGACAATGAACAGATTGACTCTTACCCTCATTTTATTGCGAGAAACGCAGCTTGTCATCATGCACTTCATTTCATCTACTGTTCTATGCCTTGCTACCATTGTGCTCGCAGGCAGTGATTCGGCCGTGAAGGCTGCTGCCATTCGACCTTGCTCGTCTGGGTACAACTACTGTGGATGGTATCTCCAAGATACTTTAGGTAATTTTGACCTAGGCATCACAGGAGATAGTCGACTGCTGACTTGGACCGAAGGTTTCACCATTGGCGACAGAGATGCCATTTACTACTGCGCCTCCGACTACAGGGTTCAGCAAATTGAGCATTGTCAAAGAGGTTGTGCTGGTCCGACTGCTCATTGTAATTAAACCCTTTTTTGCATGCCGAATAGCCAGAGCTGAATGCCGGCTAGTCAGGACCGTGACGAGAGGATCTTTTCTTTGCCTTGAGGAACGAAGAGACGAAAGGATCCTTCTTCCGCCTCCTTCCCCGCAAACTGCCCGCCCGCCCCACTTCCCGGGCCGTCCCGGGCCGCTTGACCACTCCGCGAGCCCGCTTGCTCCCGCGCGCTAGTAGCAGACCACTGCCTTCCCCCTTTGTTTGTTTACCCGCTTGCTCCCGGGCGCCAGTAGCAGACCACTGCCTTCCCCCTTTGTTCCTCCTAGCACTCGTTTCCAGCCATCCCCCTACAGAATGCCGCGAGAACACCCAGTCACGGTCTCACCCGAAGAGGTGAGGCGCACCTTGGGGGATCTCGAATCGCAGAGGTCCCATCGGCGCCGTTCACCGCTTGTCAGAGTTCCCCACGACGAGATCCTCCGCGTCTTGCACGATATGGACCGCCGGCGCGCTGAAGACCGAAGACGCCGCCGTGAAGCTCAATACCAATATACCGCACACACCCAACTGCCAACCAATCCATCACCGAGGCGACTCACGGAAGAGCAAGCGCCTTCCACTCCACCCGAAGCGCCCCGCCCCAAAGACACACGCAGCTGAGAATGCAGGCTCGCAAATTGCAGACTTGGAAGCTTCTAAACCATCGTTCACATGAAAGTTCTGGGAGATAACGATAGATGTGAGTAGCGGGCAAATATTGGGGCAGACCCAGTGGCAGGTCTGCAATGGGAAGAAGTTGGAGTTTAGAGTAGTAGCAGTTCGAAGCTTGTCAAGAAGAGAGTTAAAGTCTGCGGTGAAGTCTGCAGTGAAGTTTGTAGTGAAGTTTGCGGTGAAGTTTGTGGTGAAGGTTTGTGGTGAAGTTTGTAGTGAAGTTTGTAGTGAAGTTTGTACTTCGTGAAGTATACCCGTTGGCTGCCGAAGGCCCCGCCAACGGGTAATTACCGCGTCCTAGTGAGCCGCCTAGGGCGAGTCCAAAACAGCACAACCAGCCACTGGGCCATTTGCTGCAGCGGCGGGAGGACACTGGGAAGTCTGCTTGTCTACAACCTGGCGACGGACGGATTTCCGCGCCGGGACACCGCCGTCTCGCTCGTCATGCAGCCGACAGAGAGTCACGTTTTGCTTCCGTATCATGCCATGGCGCCGCAGTCGACATTTTCTCGGTCTGGCAGGAAACATGATCACCCGAAAGAGCCCGCAAACCCGTCAATCCCCTAGCGTACTGTATTACAAGCCCAGATAGCCAGTCTTCTTCGCGCAACTAGTGCAATAGACAGATTGTACCCGATTTTCACATATCCGTGCAAATGTACGTCGTCCGTTAACATCAGATCTGTCCTGCTTACGCAACGCAGGCAACGAACAACAACGACAAATGCTCCCGCCTTCATTAGGAATGAAACGATCGAAAGAGTAGCAAGTTGACAGAACTTCGAGAATGATCTCAATCGCGTGATGGTTCTTGACGATGTCCCTCTAGATTGATTGGCAGTCCCCGTCGGGATGCTATGGGCTTTATATAGACATCACCAAGGGGCCTGCTGCGAGAATTGAAAGAACCGTCTATCGATATGCACAGGTGGCTTGGCTTCGAGTTTCGACGTCATGGGGAGATGGTATGGATATCCTGGGGCCTATCTCGCTAGTCCCGTGGCTGGCTCAGATCGGGTTCCAAATCCCCGGACCGCTATTCTCCACCCTTTCAATCAATCTTGCGAACCCCTGTTTTGCATGTCTCCTTGGTGGAAAAGAAGGGTGACTCGCTTCCAACTGTCGACCCTGACAAATGTATCCCATTGGAGTGTGCATAATGTCCTGTCCTTTACGGCGGACGCTCAACCACTCCAGCAGAAAGGTGTATATGTCTCCAGCTGAGACGCTTCTGGAAGCTTTACCAGATGCAGCTCCGGCAGATGCGGTGCTGCCAACCTTGAGTACTGAGCGCAGGTACTTCAGGAGCATCGAATACTCTTCAAAGTCGAAGTACAGTCTAGCACCGAGCAGCCCCAGCTCAATCGAAAGCCACGAAGGCAAAGGGCTGCTCAGCAGAGGGGAGGGCAAGACGTAGCCGGCCAACTCGCTGGAATGGACCATGTTATTGGTCGTCGATGCAGCGTAGGGGATCAGGTGTACCGGCGCTCGCTCCATGGCCCTGATGACCGGTATCAAGAGCTCCACCTCCTCCGGAATGATCACCAAAGCTGTCCCATGAACAGGACCCCACAGAACCCACTCGATCGGTCTCTGCTCGGCTCGTTTAGCTATCGCCCCGAGAAGTGACAAAGTCAAGTCATCGGAACTTACCAAAAAGTTGTCGTTCGGACCTTCAGACCCATTCTCAATCGTGTGCGTGAACTCGGCGGACACGAAAAGCCGCGATCCTGGAGCGCGAACATTGTACTTCTTCCCCAGGCCTGTGTTTGCAAGAAAGGTAGACACCAACTCGAACCCCGAATCTCCGTCGAGCAGTCCCGTCTGGACAAACGATGAGATGGCCGGATGCAGACCGGAGAAGCGGAGGCTCTTGTAGTGATGAGGTTTCTGGAATTGGCGGACTTGTTCAACCTGGAATTCTACTTCGCTCCTGTTCTACTTCCTCCATGAGTGAACTGTAAGTAAGAGACGAGCTGTCTCCACAGCTAGCAGGATATCGCTCCAGCTGCCTTGCAATCCCGCGAAGGCTAGAGTGGAAGCTCTCCGGTGCATTGTTCCTCGGGGTCTGTGCGGCGCTCCCGTATAGTTCATCAAGCATAATCTGTTCGGGAGATCTGATAACTTCTAGGAGGGCCGATGTGTGTGCTTCTTCCGAGAGGAACTTGGGGTATTGCCGAGCGGCACTTGTCCGGCGACAGAAGTCGATGCCTTGGGCATTGAAGAGGCTGCGCAACTGCTCGTTGTTTCGACACGTCTGCTCGAGCAACCAATGGACGACATCAAATGAGCTGATTCGCATCCCGTCCTTTTTGCGACGCAGATCCAAGATGCTGCGGTAGACCTCTGGTGGAGCGCAGAAAGTGACGGACTGTGTCGTGGCCAGTTGCCGAAGCCTCATGGCAGCTACGCCGTACTCGTTAGCTTTGAGGTTCAAGAAACAAGGGAAGTCGCTGCATACCTTGAACTGTGTGATCTTTGGTCTGCCCCAGAGCCAAGGTGAGAGCCCCGCGGGCGTGTGGTGGGAGCTTGAGGTCAGTACCACGAGTATGGGCTTCGTCCAAGTAGACGAGGCATTCCTGCAGGCTTTCGGCAAATGGCGTGGCTAGAAGAGGATTTCCTTTCCATCTCGGTACCGAACCCAGGCTCGGTTGTCATGCGTGCAAAGAAAACTCCTGCCTTTGCATCCGTGTCTTTCTCTAACCATTTCTTGATAAGACTTTGGTTGTCCATCTCCAGAATGTAGGCCCCAGCATCGATCAACAGCCGAATTTTTGCGTTGGACAGGTGCTTGAGTAGTTCCTCCTCAGTAAGCCGCGCTCCATGGCTCGTTGCGATCATACAATCCCGGTTCCTGTCTTGGAGAAGGCATGTGAGCACCTCGGCACTGGTGTGCTTCAGGCTCGGAAGGTCATCTTGCCTGATGGTCAGGGGCAGCAGCCTTCGATTGTCGTTGGTGCCACTGAACCCTGTTGTCTTTGCCGTGAGCTTCTTTTCGTCTGAACATGAAGACAAGAGAGGCAAATCCCATCCTGAAGACTGCAGTTTGACGGCAAACTGCTTCGCGTAGCGCGGGAAAACAAAGGTGTTTAGATAATGGTCGAGCACTTCTCGACTCAGCCGCAGATGGTTCCAGAGTTTCTCAACTTGTCCGGTATCATCAACATTGATGAGGTTCCAATGGGAGAGGGCTTCCGGGAGGGAGTCGCATCCGGCAGTCCAGCTATCGTACTCTGAGGCTGGGTCATCAGACTTGAGCACTCTCCCCAGTCCTTCCTGGAACTGGTGGATCGTGAGGCCTGCGTAGTAAAAGGACAAGCAGGTGAAGATTATGGCAACATCGGGATGGCCAAACTCGGCTTGCTCGGACGGCACTCCTTTTGCCTCAAAGGGAACTGCAAGAGGATCCCTCTTCGGATGCAGCCCGTATTGGACATTCCATCTCTTCCTGAGGCAGAGGAGAAGAATTCCCTTCAACAAGAGGCCTCGAATAATCAGAGCGTTCTTGAACAGCGATGGCTTTGCGGCGAACTCTTTTGACAAACTTGCAAAGTCCTCGGGGTCCGGATTGTCCTCGGTTAGGACCCGCCTCAAACACGCCTTGCAAGCATCGGTGTAGGAGCTGGGCAGGCGAAGAATCGAAGTGTGTCCGTCGCAAACTGTGTCGGTGACTCTGCTGCGGAGCGTGTCCTCAATCTCGCTTTGCACAATGTAAATCATGGGAAAACCAGGCGCTCGTTCAACCACCTCGATCCTATGAGGAAACCGTTTGCGCAGATCAGCCAGATTGTCGTGTACGAGTGTTAAAAGGCCCTAGACTACCTTCCAGCGATCGGGATGCCCATCTACGGGCACGAGCTGTCCGCTTGGGTAGATCAACTGCGTCTTGACTGCCAACGTGAAGTCTGATTCGTCGAGCACATCACGACAAGTCTTGGTCAACCAAGATTGGATGGCCATCATCTCGCGAGCTTCCTTGAGCTTGGAGTCGGCGAGCTTCTGGAATCCACTCAGCTTGTATGACATTATGTGCTCTGGAATGGCGAGAATGACACCGGAGCGGCCAAGAATGTCTCGATGAAGATCGACGTAGAGCTTCTGCATGTCCGAGCTCGAAGGGGTGCGTCGAGAGAACGGAATTTGCCTCATCTCACGTCCAAGCAAGCCTCCGATCTTGGACTGCAAAGTCTGGGCAGTCTGGAGCAGCAAGGCTTTTGGCACGATGAGCCGGCAAAGTTGCTTTGAGTCTGCAAGAACGGCAACGACCATTGGCACGATGCAAGATGTTTTCCTGTAGATTGTGTTAGTTCTTGATCAACATATGGAGAGACGCGACGATTGGAATGTCTCCTTCGGTGTGGCTGGGCGTGTTACCTTTTCCCATGTTGAGCTGCAGCACAGAGTTCGCGGACGAAGGCGGAGAGATGATTGCGTTGGCAACCTCAACCTGCTCACGACGAATGAGGAGGTTGCTTTCAATCTCCAGAAGCAGCCAATCTGGAAACTCGATCGGGTCCCAGTTGCTGTGCCCTCTGTCCGAACAATGCTCAAGGAGCTTCTGACGGTCCCCTCTCCGGAACGCATGCCTAATTCTCAGAAGCCACTGAAGAGTTGTGATTGAGGTGCCATAGAACACTAGCAGCTCCTTCATTCCCGGGCCAAATATGGCCTTGTCGTTTGACCGCAGTTGCTGGAGGAGCGAAACTGAAGAGACTCGGGGCCAGAGGTTTCCCTGCCGTAGCCATCGAAACCGGTTGTCGTTTAAGGACAGCGCGTTGGCGATGAGAGCAACGCATCTCGAGACCACTTCGCGGGCCATTGATATGTTCTGGTCGATACTTTCCAGTTCCTCTACGTTAGTTTGACCTTGTTGCTCGTCTCCAAGCTCGCGCAACGCGTCGTGACTCTGAAGCAAGTCCTTGCCATACTGCTGCCACAGTGGCTTCGACGAGTTTGCGAATGTTGTCAAGATCTGGCCAAGTTCCTTCATTTCTCTCTTTTCAGCGCTTCCCTTAGAAGTTTCGTCCTTATCCGAGGCAGGGCTGATGGCCTGGGAGAGAGGGCACAAGTTGCCAACGGGAGGAGCGCTAGGCCCCTGCTTGAGCAGAAGCTCTTGCGACAGAGACGGGACGACTGTTCCGTGAGCCGACGAACCAGTTCCCTCTGAGGGATCCCAAGGCTTGGGTCTCGAGGTTTCCGCGCCTCCGATGTGGCGGTCCAAAATTGCCTGCGCCTCATCGAGATATTCCGAGAGCGTCAGGTTGTTGTGCAGCCGGGTCCATTCCGAGTGCACTCTCTCCATGGGTTGCGGAATCTCAGTGTCGCCAGCATCAAAATCCACCGTGGAGGGTGTAGCACAAGGCCATTGAGCGAGAAGGTGTTTCGCCAACCCCTTCGCAACGTTTCTCCGCTTGGTTTCCCGTCGACCTTCGGACTGCGCTTTCTGATGCTTCAGCGTCGCGGGCTGCGGCTCATGAGCAGGCAATTCGACTAAGATCAGCTCTTCCAGACGTTCCAGCGTCAGGGATGCCCGGTATTTGAAGTCTGTGAAGAGAGGACAGTCTGGTGGCTGCAAATCTCGCAGTTTTTCAAGTCTCGAGAATGCACACAATGCCCTGATTGCCGCATTATTAGGCTTCGTGCTGAAAGCCAGCAGCCCGAGGCGGAAAACGACATCATAGATGTTGTCGTCGTCTACATTCCTGCAAAGGTTCACCAAACTCCCCCACTGCTCGCCGACATCATTGCCGACCAAGGCATCCAGGGAGCCACAGGGGCTATCGGAAACAGCGTGAAATCCCCCAATGATCTTCCCGGGGATATCTTGGAGGATCTGGGCGAGACTCGTCTTGGGAATTTTGAATGGTAGGCAGTAGAGGATCTTGGCCGTCTGGTAGACATTGATTCCGCAGCGGGAGCCAGCGATGCGATCTCTAGACTCGTAGACCACTACTTTCTCGTTCCGCTCCACTGAGCTGTCGGTGAGACTTCGCTCGTAGAGACTTCGACGTACAGTGGCGCGGTGTTGGAGGGAATGCGTGTCGTCTTCTGTTGCCGAGCTGACGCACGGCTCTTGAGTGTGAAATGCGTGAAGGCGCATGGATTTGAGAAGAATTTCCCCAATAAGCCTTCCGTAACTGTCGTGCTGGACTTCCATGGTCAGGTCGCGATTCCATTGGACAGTCTGAAGAATCCTCTTGTCTCTTGGGTAGTAATCCCTCCGCGGACAAAGTTGCTCAATTTCTTTCAAAATCAAACGACTGCCGTCGGCCAGGGGCATCCAGGGTTGACAGGCACCAGAGCCGAGAATCCGATACGCTTCTTCGGCCCCAGTAGAGGCTGTGAGCGGATCCGGCAGAGGGAAAGAGGTTGATGCGTGGAACAAGGCCATAGAGTATAGGAGACGCGTTTCCGGCGGACATGTGAGACGTCCAAGAACGCCGTCGATGTCAAATTTGCCGTAGGCATTAGTATCCTTGACTCGAACGGCAACGTGAATCCCGCGGCGTTGATAGGAAAGCTCTCCCAGGCCAGCAATGATACTTCGCCGGTGCCCATCAACCATGTCTCGGAGAACAATTTTGCCCTCAAACCCGTAAAGAGCTCCAGCGTCTTGGTTTGGGATCAATCTCGGCTTGCAGCTGCCGACACTGAAGCAGTCTGTTGCGATTGACGACGAAAGAGAGCTCCAGAAACTTCAATTCCACGGACAGATTTCCTATAGGGGGGCTGATAGACCGTGATTCTCTCTGACTTCTCGAAGCCTTGCAGAATGTCTTTGATCTTGCCAAAGACTTCCGAGTGAGGGTCAACCAGGTAAGTCTCACGACGTTTGGCCTGACGAGTTTGAACATTGAGAGTCCAGTTTCCAGGCCTAGAGGTCCAGATGGTTGGCTGTCTTCGGATCTCAAGGTCCCCGGTGGAGAGGTTGAGCCAGTGAGCGCAGCTGTCAACCAGTTCCGACGGCAAGTCAAAGTCAGACTCCCCTCGAAAGACTCTGCCCGGAATGTACTCAAGAAGATCCGTCCGGCCACGGGTCCAGTGGATGGCCCTTATGACAACTTCATCGCCGCGACGGCCGAAATGAATATGATGATCATCGACAGGGATGGCCACGACATGACTCATACCAGTCAAATACGAAGGATATGTCAGTAAATTTCGTTTACCAAACAAGTACTTGACGTCTGTTGATCCGATAATATCCAGTGGCGGTCTTCCTAACGGCTGGCCATCTACGAGAAGATGGCCCTCGACGATGTTGTAGTGAAAGACCTGCGGTGCGGCCCCATGCTGTGCTTCGCTTCTCATGACAGAGGCAATCCATGAGTCGTTTGGCTTGTCCAAAAACCTCCACTGCGTAAAGCGCTGCTTTGACTGCTCTCGAGGCTCCCAGGATCTCGCGCCACAGAAAGCCGAGCCCAGGAATTCTGGGTTGCTCTGGACAGACTCTCGCAGAATAGATCGGAAGCGGTATGCCATTTTCAAGTCTCTCATTAACATGCTCTCCTGATTGGGGGTGAGCCTGGTCGGATCAACGACGAGACTTTGCTGCAAGGAAATAGACGCCTCTACAAACGCGCTGAGCTCCTCGGCGTCCATAGTCTCCCTCTCGGTCGGCGAATACCGAAAGGTTCGTCTGCAGAGCAGCGCTGCCTGAAACCTGTACTGCGCCACCCGCAATGCCTCGTTGGCATCGGTCTCATTGTGAATCTTGTCGCGAAGGTCCAGGCTCCATTGCAGTGTCGCCCGGCGAGCAAGTTTGAGCAGCTCGTACGCCTGTTGACGCATTCCTCCGCTTGTCAAGCCATGGAGTCGAAGGGCCAGTGTGATGAGAAGTTCCATGTAGTGCGACTCCGCCAGTTGGTCTTGACCATTCGAATGCGCTTCTCAATCTGCTCCCGGAGACGACTGCAGAACAACTCATCGCGAAAAATGACATGAACGTCCCTCAGTACATCGTCTGTGCACTCTGTAGGGGGCACTTGGTTTGGCTGGCAACAGTCTGAAACGAGGACGGACCATCCGTCCAAGTAGGCATTCGTGGATCGGCGACGGCGGCTTCGAGCAAAGCTCTCGGAATGCGGATTCCGCATAAATGCTGAAAGGTGACGGGATCCTTGAAGTTGCTGACCCAAGACTGAGAGCCCTCGTCGTAGTATTCAAAGCTGAGTCCACAAGGCAAGACGACACTGGGCAGGTCAACTTTCATGCGCTGCTGCTTGTAGTGAGTCTGAAGAAAGGACTTCTTGGCGGAAGCCATGGAGATTCCGTTGGCCTCAGTTTGATTGTACGGCGTCAGTTGGGAGTAGCTCTTGAGCAGCATGGTTGGTGAGGCCGACTTGGCAACTGAACCCGGGTGCCCGAGCTGGTGCAGAATCTTCCAGGTAGCGTTGCGATAGGTCTGGATAAACGGTGGAATGGCGAGCTCGAAAGCAACGGTTGACTTTTGCACGGAGTCAGCGGGGAGATAGGACTCGTGGACCGAAATAGTCATCCTCTTGCGGACACGCCAGTGATAGCACTTGGCACAGCCGTGAACATTGCGCGATCCATCGGCGTCGAAGGTGCAAACACAGGTTCCGGATGAAATCTTTTCGCTCAACCTGTCATACTCGCGGCAGGCCTCCCGCCACTCCAGGGTTTTGCATCGCGTGCCGCCTCGGAGTTCCTCTCAATCCTGGCCACCAGGTGTTGCAGCGAACGGCCATTCTCGTCCTCGTGCAGGTAGCGAGCAGCGAAACAGTTGTTGCTCGGCCCGCACAAGATGTTCTCGCTCGGGTACTTGCAGTTGAATCTTCGTTTCCGCAGATAGCCTTGGACTTGTTGGAGTCGGTTCATGGCTGACAGTTCGGCGAGGTGCAGGACATCCAAAGCCTCGGCAGGGAACAAGGGGTGATAGTCGCCCAAAAGAGGGCAGGCCGTCACTGCGCACTTGTCCATCTCGACCCAAAGCTCAAAGACTTTCAGTATAAAGAGGCTCATTTGGTCCGGCTTTGAAGTATAAGACTTGAATTCACTAATCGCCAAGAGGCGAAAAAGCGACTCGGCCATTGCGACACAGCCATCTTGGCATGCTTGCCTAGATGCCTCGCTTGCAAAATAAGACTGCTGCAGGGCACTCGACTCCAGGTCTGCAAGCTTGAAGTAGCGGCTTGCGAGCTGACTCAGCTCATGGATCGCAGTCTTCTCCAGCGGAGGTAGGCTCAAGTCCATACGGTTGTCGTTGGCGGTAATTGTGGGCGGCTGTTGAAGGAGGTTCCGCAGGTGCTCACCGCTTCTCGGCAGCGAAAGGTGAAGCGAAGGCTCTTTGGCGCGAGACGGAAGCAGAGGGATCAGTCGTGTCGTAGCCTTTTTGAAGTTGTCCCAGGCGTTCTCAATCTGAAGTGATGCCTCGGCTATGATGCTCTCGCATTGGGTTCCAACGGTGTCGAACAACGCCTGGTATACACCATGGGCGGACTTGGAGGCCTTGGACTTTTCCTGCTCAAGCTTGGCAAGGCGGCGGCACATAGGGCTGATATTTGAAGATTTTGAAGTCGAATCGGCCTCAGGACCCTTGAATTGAATGAAGCCGAATCGGGCAAGGTCTTCAAATTCGACGAATAAAGAATCAGGAGTCTTCATTCAATTCATTCATGCAAATTATGAATGAATGGCGATATAGTCGAAATATAAGGCGAAAAAAAAATCTTCCGTCCACACTCCAGTTCGCAAAGTCTGAATGTATTGGAAGTGGGGTAGTTAGGGCGTCCATGTATTTTGGTATAACTGCCCTAACAGTGCCTGATACGCCCCACCGTTTCGCCAATCTTGCCACCCTATAGGGAGCATCAAAAACACCGGGAAGCTTATGAACAGTGCCATTTCAGAATGCACACAATTAAAATGTAGTGCCACTCGATGTTCTGGGTTTTCTCGTTCGGATGATATAACTCTCGATACATGTGCTTAACATTTGCTTAAGAAATGCCACATCATCCTGAAGGCGATCGATAGATTAAGTCATTTTCTAGTTGCAGAACTACATTTGAAGCACGTATCACGTTCGGCAGTCCACATTTTGGATATGTAATACCATACTTATACCGTTAAACAACCTCTGGCAAGCTGATTCGAAAAACGCGTTCAGACCCGTCAACATCTCAATATTGCGCGAAAAATTGGAATTGACACGAATTGCGTCAGGTCGCGATTTGGAGGCTGTTAGGGAGTTACCTACTCCTCGGGCCCAATACGACTTTTACTTGTTTATCCACATAAAATTGGCACGATCAGGAAGTACCCGCAACATCTGCATGATAGGGATATATTATGCCAACTAGCTGCGTTTAGACGCGTTATTCGCGCTCCACTGACCACTTGTTAATTCTACCTGCTGTCGGCAAGACACGGTCGTCAGCCCTTCCCACTTTTTGCCTGCATGCGCAACGGTCTTCGCGACAACTGCCGCATTATTTTACCACGACCTCGCCTAATTCCTGCTTCAATAAATCCGACAGCGGCTTCGGGTCGGCCCCCGAATCAACGTCCTGCCCGACGAGCTATCCTGCCCGTTCAACTTCGAATCCCTTACATTTATTGTGGGTTATTTGGTGTTGTTTCGACTACCTGTGTCGCGCGTCCATTCTCGAGCCCTTGAGCCAAGACCAGGTAAAACTCCAACCTACCCCTCCTTATTTAATTACTTTACGAGTGGATAGCTAATTATAACGTGCTACATAGTATGGCCCCTGCCGAATCAAAAACATCTGCCGCAGCGAACTTCTTCGCCCCTAGGACCCGGCGTAAATTGCCAACGCAGAATTATGCTCGCATTGAACGTCCTTAATTCAACTTTCAGAATCCCGCACGCGCGCGCCCTGATCCTAGCACCGCTCCGGCTCCTTCGTCTCCTCTTCTAACTGGCGAAGATACAATCGTCTGCGCGCCCCCGGGCCAGCCTGACTGTGAGTCAGATGATGACATGCCCGACGCGGATACACCAGAGCCGCCATTGAACAGTAGTCACATGACGCTCGCAGAGAAAGCCGGACTTATCGAGAAGTGGGCCGACAACAAACAGAAGCATGTTCGCAAGAAGGGACACAGGATGCCACAAACTCAACTATGAGCCAATCCAGACCAGCTGAGCGTCCCCAAGGAGTCTCCATTGCGCACTGGAGAGCCATACAAATCAAGAAGGCGAAGGGGGCGGAGGCCGGCGCGGCGATCCCTATTTCGGAGCTTGAACGGTGGTTTGCAACTCCTCGAATAGAGTTCAACGAGTCTATTGCAAAGTCTCCAGATTTCTTACGGAAGTGGTGGAAAGAACACAAGGACGAGTGGCCACTTTTAGCTGCGGCGGCGCGTGATCTTCTCTCTATCTCTGGCTCTGAAGTTGACGTGGAACGCCTCTTTAGTGGCTGTAGAGACGAATTCGGGATCCGCCGTCACGCTTTGAAGGCAGATACAGCGCGAGTACTAACACTTTTACGGAGTGCTCATACCCAGACTTGCAAATAGATAAATCATAATCAAATCAAATCAAATCAAATCAAATTTATCCAAATCAAATCAAATCAAATTGCCCCTGCGCTGAATCAAATCAAATCAAATCGCAACATCCAAATTTATTTGGATATCTGATTATTTGGATACGCCCCACAATGGCGACCTGGGCCAATCATTTTTGGGAGCCAGCCCCGGCCCAGAGCGGTCGCTTATTACTGGCAGTTGCTTTTCCAGGCCGTGTCACTAAGCTTTCTTTTTGCGTTTTACCTGACACGTTTGATCGTGAAATATATCTTTGGGTGCGTCTGCCATATTACTGGGGGAAATATTTGTAGCCGGTGGCCAAAATGGGACAGCTCTGCACTTGACTGCAATGGCGCATACAGCAGAAGGCGAGGCGCTGTCAGCCGCCCTTTCTAGTGTCCCGTCCACCAGTTTTAGCGCTCCCGAGAGCTCCCCCGACCTTGACACATCACCTTCGATCGACTACGTTGGATATGAAGGCATCGATTGGAATCGCCTCTTGGGTTTCTCCATACGCAAGTATAGAAAAGAGCGCGGACGGGATGGGTATGGGAGCATGGGTTCGATATCGAGAAACCGATTCCGGTCATCGGTTTTGGCTTTGCAAGGCCTGCCACGGGAAGAAGGCTACAATTACCCATATGTACGATGCTGCATCCACAAGTCAAGCGAACAGTCACATGGAAGAAATTCACCACATCAACAAAGGCGGGCCAATGCTACCACAGAGGAAGAAGCAACGCACTCTTTTCGACGTGGTTGACCTAGACTCAACCGACCGAAGGATCAGGCTCTGATGAATGCCTTCATCTCGTCCTTTGAACCGCTTCGCTTTCAACATCTCTTGATACGCTGGGTGGCATGCGACAACATACCATTCCACAAACTGGAGAGTCCGTACTTTCGCGACCTTATGGCTTACGCGAACAGCGCAATTGCGGATTCGGGCAGTATTCCCACTCATAGCACAATACGCGACTGGATTGTGCGCTCCTTCAATTGTCACAAAGGTGTCGTGACGGAATTGCTTCGTCGGTCGCTCAGCCGCATCAACGTCTCCTTTGATGCTTGGTCCTCCCGAAAATTCACATCTCTGCTCGGCCTTACCGTACACTTTATTGATGACGAAGGGAAGTTCCGTACGTTTCTCCTCGGCTTGCCACGGATTGAAGGTCGCCACTGTGGAAAAACCTGGCCGACCGTGTCAGCGAGATAATCCACGAGTATGGGTTCGAGGATCGCGTTGGATATTTTGTCACAGACAATGCGGAGAGCAACGACACGTGCCTTGAAGACTTGGGCGCTGAGTTGGGGTTCAACAAGCAGCATCGTCGGCTCCGTTGCTGCGGCCACATCATCAACCTCGTCGCCCGATCCATCCTTTTCGGCACGGACGCCGACGCGTTCGAAGAGGATTGCCAAGCCAACAAAGAGATCCAAGATGAGGTCAGACTCTGGAGATCAAGGGCCCCATCGGCAAGTTGCACAATATCGTTCACTGGGTGGAAAGGTCTGGGCAGCGCATTGAAAGGCTCCACATGCTCCAATCCATCGAGAACACCGCCCTGGGCCTCGAAGACAAAACAACCTACGATGTGGTCATGGACAACGCTACTCGCTGGAACTCGTCCGAAGCGATGATGGAGCGGGGCTACATGCTTCGCAATGCACTCGATTCGCTGGTCCAAGCGGAAGTGACAGAGTGGAATCAATATGTGGCGAGAAGGACACAGCACGGGGCAAAGCCGATGCCGAAGAAGTGCCGCAAGAAGCCTACAATTGTGGACGACCAGATGGTCACTGAGGACTGGTCCGTTATTGCAGAGTATTTGGCGATCCTGAAACCATTGAAGATCGCGACAAAGCGCCTAGAGGGCCAGCCACGACAAGGCAAATTCGGCGCGATTTGGGAAGTTTTGCTCACAATGGAGTGGCTTCTGAAGCACCTAGAAGAGGCAAAGCTACAGCACGAACGGGACGAGGAACCGTACCTGCGAATCGGCTGCAATCTCGGCTGGATGAAGCTGGATCAATACTACGCCCTTACGGAGGATAGCCCTGCGTACCTCGCAAGCCTCGTCCTCCATCCCGCGTTTCGCTGGTCCACCGTCGAGTCGCAGTGGTCCGATCATCCGGACTGGTTGGCCAGAGGAAGGGCGGCTGTGCAAGAGCTATGGGAGGAGTACCGAACCCTCGCGGTCGAGCAAGATACGATACCCGAGGAGCCCACAGCTGCAAGGAAGACAACGGACCTAGATGACTTCATGACCTCAATTAGGAAACTTGGCGCCCAACCTGCGCCCTCACCGTCCTCCACGCGTGACGAATACGCAGAATGGGTGGCCAGTACCGATCCGGGCGATTGTCTTGTGGACAATCCCATCCAGTACTGGCTTCTCCGCAGACGCCAGTATCCACGCTTGTCGCGAATGGCAATCGACCTCTTTTCTATTCCGGCAATGTCTTCAGAGCCGGAGAGAATATTTAGCCTTGCCGGACAGATGGTCACAGCTCAGAGAGGCCGCCTCAAAGCGGACCTTATCGGGGCGGCTCAGTGTATTTCGTCGTGGGAAAAAAGTGGAGTTATCCAGATATCCAAATGAGATCCAAATCGACTCAAATCAAATCAAATCAAATCAGATCCATGATTTTGCCATCCAAATCAAATCAAATTGGACACCGGATTTGATTTGATTTATCTATTTGCAAGTCTGCATACCCAGGAAGATAAGATCGATCAGGCGTTGATCAAGGCGGCCATGGAGTATGACATCCTGCCATTCGCCAACAGTATTATTTGGAGACCAGACAACATTCCGGGCAAGCAGGTAGATGGTGTGAATATACCCTCATTGTATGTGTATATGCTAATATGCGTTCAGACGAGAATCTTCCTTCTCAACCCCCTGCTGCTGCGGAAGTTCCCACCGAGGCTGAGGCTCCCACCGAACCCCCTACCCACAAACCTCCTACCTCCCAAGCCGATGAATCTACGATATCAACCCCCTGTCCAGATACAATGGAGGCTTCGGAGGATTGAGGCTATACGGGCGTGTAACCGTGTACAATGGCGGATTGGAGCGCGTTGTACCGTCGTATTTTGAGGATTCGGCAAAGCTTTTGAAAGTGCTTATTTTCGGTCGATTTACCTAGGACAGGTAATTTTTTTAGTATTCGGGATTATCGAGAGGTTTCTCTGAAGGCTATATATATGTCAGGGGCTGTGCCCGGCTTGGTGGACCCGGTTGTACCGGGCCCGGCGGGTCATGCCCTGGCCCCGCTCCGCGGAGCCGGATGCTGCGAGAACATTCTACGATGAGCGATATAAGCTCGCACTCGAGGCGAAGCCTCGAGCTCGGCTTTCTTTCCTCCGTAGTTCTAGATAGACAACACCTAGGCACCTGCTTGTTGAATAAACTCCGGGCCAGCCTCTTACAATATATACTACTTATTGGCGTTTTTGAGGTATCTTTGCAATCGCTTAGGTACCGGTACACACCAAATTCACTTCGTTTAGGGGATCCCTTCAAACCATTCATGAATGGCCTGAATTGGCCCAAACCCAACTTGAATCGCGAAAATTGGAGCTTGAAGATTTTGAATCAAGATCCAAAAAATTCAATTCATTTGATTCATCCTTCATTCAAAATCTTCAAAAAATTTGCCTTCATCTATCACCCCTAGCGGCACAGCTTGGCTCTCAGGACAAGCGTCATGCCCGGGGAGAGCTTTCCGGCGCAGTCCTTGAGCAGCTGAGCAAGCACGGCGCAGATCAAAAACTTATAGGACGCTCGGCCGTTCTCATTGCCCATGCTGAGGCAGAGTTGGCGCTGGACAGCCACGCGCAAGGCCAGCCAAGATGGGTCTCTCCTCCAGGGAGATTCGCCCTTGTAGATGTTCACATCGTCTCTGACGCGCTTTCGTACCCTGATCGTGTCGACCGAATGCCCCGTCGCCTCCAGTAGGGGCATGAGGAACTGAGTCAAAAGACCCGGGTCGGTGGTGTCTCTGGACTCGACGGGGGTTGCTCCAGCCTTGTTGGCACGCGCGGCGAAGCGATGCAACGGTTCCTGAGCCGCTTGTTCTAGGAACCGAGAGAGATTTTCCTGGAACGAAGGCTGCTGGAACACGTCTAGGGTGATCTGAGCGGCGCGGCCGGGGAAATCCCACTCGAGAGCGTTGTCGGACTCAAGCACGTGTTTCGCCAAGGGTGAGGTTTCAAAGACTTCGAAGATGACGAAGTGCTCCTCGTTTCTATGTTGACGGTTAGGACGCAGCATCACACCATTCAGAGACTGCCACTGACTGAACGTGACGACGGATCAAAAGCGCTGCATTCTGCTCCGATATGCGCAGCAAGAAAACATCGTCGGGGCGGAAATTGGCCATATCTCGCAGAAAATGCTGGGCATCGAAGCTCGCTTCCGCGATGCCCTTACATTTGCAAAGACAGCGTTGGATAGCGTGCCAGCCATCACCAGAGTTGTTGCTTACGACTCGGCAGGCGCTCTGCAGGCGAGCCAAAATGGCTGATCCTATGGCTTCTGTATCGAGATCCCGGTGGTTGGGCAGCTTGGGCGGCAAGACCAGGTGGTTAAAGACGAGATCAAGAGGCTCCATGGCGTTGTTGGCAGTGGAAGAGGTCCAAGAATAAAGAGGAATCTGGATAGCAAAGAAAGCGGTGTGTCGAGGGCAAGCTGATGGATGCTCTGAGGAAGGAGAGAACTTTGGATGAAGAGGGGGTTTATTTTCAGGCTTTGGGGCCTAAGGATCATCTTGAGCTTTATTTCCCAATATGTAAGGAGCGGGGAGGACTTTGAGTGCATAATTCAAAATACTGTTGAGACGAGGCCGAGGTGGCAGCTTAGAGCATACCAAGGGTGGCCATCACGGGAATAGCGTTGTCAGTCCCTAGAAGACTAGGTCTGCATCTTCACAGTGCTTAGTTTCATGAATTTAAAGCATTTGATTCCTTGGATTTGCTGCCAATGCTTGTCTATGTCATAGAGAAATGCTATAGTTATGCTTTTATCGTTGACGCTATGGTCCCGGCACTTGATCGGTGTCCACTGTCAATGTTCTCCGAGCGAACGTGTTGGGAAGAACCAGGTTCAGGCGGAATGAGGATGCATTTCACTGCTCCTCTACGTGTCCGCATGCGGGCTGACGCGTACATAGAGGGATGGGACATGCGTTGTGTTCAATGCAGTACCGATGTGCGCAGAATATGATTGTTAAACCCGCTAGCTGCTAACCTATAGCCTCGTCGCAGGGGAAGGCCGGCATCGCTTATCAGGTCACAGGAACTTCCCTGTAACCAGGATATTAGGCTTCGTTGAGGGAATGTCCTGCTCTGTGACGGGCTTTGTATCTCTACCTACAAACCAAGAGCGCAACGATTTCCCTGGCCATAGATCAAATATCGGCAAATAAACGGCAGCAGGAAAATCGATTGTCACATAAGATGTGTCACACAGGGCATCACACAAGGGATCCCAGCCTCCAATAGCCTGACCCTTTCTCCCTCTTCAGACCAGCCAGGTATGAACACGTTCCAATTGGAGACACCTAATACCAATAGCTTCCATACACTCTGATCGGATATTTCTACTACTCAAGAGTCCCTCTTTCAGGCAGTCTATAATGGCTTAGCATTCCCTCTTTAGATAGAAAAATCAAGAGTTCTTCAACCCCCACGCGAGGCAGATGCGACGTACAGTTGACTTTTGGTGCTTGATATACCTAGTGACTTAGTGTGACTCCCAGCGGCGCCGGACTACACAGATCGGATGGGGGGCCTGGTGGGGCGAAGGTCACGGAAGAATGGGCCTGTCGTGCGATCAAAGATCTACGGTCGTGCGATGTGCGATACTCGTTGTAAACGTCTTGTTCTCGGGCCCGAAAAAAATAAGGCTTCCAGTCTGACGAGCACGCAAAGTATGAGGCATTAAGCCGACAAGTGAAGCGTGAGGTGTCGTGAAAGCGGGTTCAAAACTTAGCTCCGAAGACTAATAACTGGGCTGTCGGTAATGAACAGTGATTGGCTGACCCGTATGACGCGATATTCTAGCTTTCGAACATAGAAGATGATGGTGGCAAATTTGCGGTTCAACCGCTGGACCCCGCAGTACGACGGTGAATCTATCTTCCCAGTGTTTTGCATTGATCTCAGGGTCTACCGGTACATCGACCGATCCCTCTTAAGGATTCAGGAGCATACTGTGAAAGGCCTCTAGTGAGTTGATTCAACTGACTAGTCCCTATGCTGTTTACTATCAAGATAGAGAAGAAGGAAAGAAAAAGTGTCAAGATCGGAACGCTCATTCACTGTGCTGCCTAACAGGCAGCAAGCAGTTCGTAATGCCATATTAGTGATGGATTCGAACCTTCTAGGTGACGTCGTCATCTATGCTGCCTGGGTGGCAACATCGCCACTCAGCCCAAAATCACAAGTATAAGAAGCCAACTTTTCACCATCACTTAGATAGAGAATCAAGAGTCTTTCGTTGCCCGATTCACAGGATCTCCTTCCCGATCGTTGCTCAGTCATCCATACTGTCCGTGCCTCTTGTTGTGTGACAGTTATGAGCCCGGTCTGCTAAGCCGGGTTTCTACTACACACATTGCGTCCACTGCGTTTGCCTCACCAACAATAAGCACGCCAAAATGGCCGCTGACGACCTCGAAGTCTCTTCCCGGGTCACCCTCAAAGGCCCCGGTAATTGGGATCTATGGATCAGCATTGTTCGCAAATTTGCGAAGAATCAACAAATCTGGGATTTCATTGACCCTGCCGTTGCGCGCAAGCCGGCTCTGATGCCGCCAGTCGAACCAACGCCAGGAGAAGTGCAGGAAAATGCCACCGGCATACACCAACTGCAAGGGGACAGCCTTACTAAGTTTCAGATCCTTGAGGCACGGCATCGAAGCCAGCTCCAGACCTACAAGGACAAAACTAAGGCACTCGCAAAATTGCAAGAACACATCGTGAAGACCGTTGGCAAATACTACGATATTATCGCCAAGGAAGATGATGTGGCCAAGGAACTCACAATCCTGAAAAACCGAGTCAAACCAACCGACTGGGCTCGGGAGAGTGAAGTCACAGATCGATACTACGCAACGCTTAAGGCAGTCAGCCGGTCCAAAGTCGAAGAATGGATCTCGAAGTGGCAAGTCGTCCTGAACGAAGCCAAGAATCTCGACCTACCCGACGTGAAAGACCTGCGACCAACTCGCCATTTCCTCAAAGCTGTGAACGCAATCGACTCGACCTTCTCCAAAGTCTGGATCAATCAGATGGAAGCAAATGCCCTGTCCAATCCGGACGACGACTGGCAAAAGACTTTCCCTGACGGAATCAAGATCAGTGAGATCTTCGAGCGATCGTATCGATCAACCACCAGCAACTCAGACACCAAAGGTGCATTTTCCACCTTCCAAGGTGAAGGAGAGCCCGATGCTTCCGGTACAACCCGAACATCAAAACCCAACAGGAACCAAGGAGGAAAACCACCGTGCCTCTGCGGTCACAGGCATTTCTACTCAGAATGTCCATATCTCTCTGACTCGGTACGACCTGAAGGATGGTCTCCGGACAGCAAAGTCCAGGAAGAAATCGATCAGAAGCTCAAAGACCCTACTACCAAGGGCAAAATCGAACGGTCCATCAGGAATCGTAAAAGGAAGGAAGAGTCTCGACAAGAATCACCGGAATTCCGAGGTACTGCCTTCGCTGGACTCAGAGCCAAGGACAAAAAGAACCAAGGCGAGAAGGACCAGGAGCAAGAGCAGTCACCCGATCCACAGATCAAGTCAGCCTTCTCAACATCACCAGTCTATCCACTCCGTGACTCGTTCATCATGGATTCCGGATCGGACTTTCACATTTGCAACAATTCGGTACGCTTTACGGAAGGCACGTACAAGTCCTGCGATGAGCCTGAAGCAGCCTTCTCGGCAGACACACTGCTTGAGATCCACGGATACGGAGACGTTCTCATCCGCATCGGAAGCTCAGATAAGTTCAGATTGCAGAACGTCGCCTACATCCCAAACTTCCACACAAACGTTGCATCTCTTGATCTCTTTCTCAAAGAGGATACAATTGGAACCCTGCAACAGGCGCTGTCTCAAGAGACGGAAAGACGATCTTTCGCACAGAGAGGCGATTTCGCCAGCCTATCATCGAATACAACCAAGTCGATTACGAATCGCACACCCAGTCGGCAACTGCCTTCACTTCATCCGCGCAGCCGAGACCCGAGTCCGCTGCAGAAGCCATACGGTGGCACCAACGCCTAGGTCATCTTGGGTCGGAAGCCCTCGTGCACCTAGTTTGCATAAGGAGCGCACGGAGGTTGGCGTCAGTGCGAGGGCGTCAGTGCGGAGGGCGGCTGGGAGGAGCCTGCGGTTGTCAGCTTGTAGGGGGCAGTGGAGGAAGACGTGGAACACAGTTTCTTCCCCGCCACCGCACCGGCAGAGGGGGGTCGTCGCGCTGGGGACGTTCCTGTGATAGAGAAAGCTGTTAAAACCTATCTTCCCGGTGCGGAGCTGGATAAGCGTGGAGCTCTCGTGCTTGTAGAGGTCGGCGTGGGCCTTTAGCCTTCTCCCGGGCGGTTCGGTGTCTGACGGTTGGAGAGTACGACGAGGGTTGCGCGCCTTCGTGTCTCGCAGCTCTCTTTCCCACCTTCTCGTCCATTCACGCCATACAGCTTCACGAGGCTCCGTTGAGCCTATGCACCAGCGCTGTCGCCACTCGCGGCCATTTCCGGGTTTGCGCCATGGACCCTTACGCGTTCGAATAAGACCAAATTACCAGCTGTCGCATAAGTGAAATTCGGGAGAGAAGGTTGGGTACAGAAAGCGCGGGGTGTCGCTCCTAGACCCTTCCGCCGATCATGGGCGCCTGGGTTCCCGTTACCGTACCTGCGGCCGATTCTGTCTTCACAACAGTGCAGCAAGTCCACGTCTTGGGTGATTGACAGCACCCTCGCATCTGGCTGCCTGGTAGTACTGAGCTGTAAGAGTTGCAACCCCTTATTGATAAGCAAAATCGTCTCCACTGCAGCCAGAAAGTGAGCTGGCGCCGAGTAGCATTGCTGCCCCCCACCAGGCCGCGGCGGAAGGGTCTAGGAACGACACCCCGAGTTTCTCGCCCAACCCGTTCCCACGTAACTCGTCTCTACAACAGAGTCTCGACCGACACAGCCCCATCCCTCGTCCGATGGTTTCTCAAATTTCGGTCAATACCCCGCTACAAGGTAGCAGCAGACCTCGCAAGAAGCTGGTCTGCCAGCGCCGCGACAACAATACGACCACGAGCGGACGGAGAGTAGAAAGAGAGAACACGGTAGCAGTGAAGGTTTTTACTCTTGTCGGCTCCCAATCACGAACAGCTGCGAACGGCTCCCATAATGGCATCAAGCGTGCCCCCCCGCCCCTAGTACGGCTCAACACTCGGGGTCTTGGCGGGCCGTGGGCGACCGACCGAACACCAGTGAGAAGAGCTTCCTAAGAGGAGGAGGTATAAGCGGGATAGAGTCTCCGCCGTGCCGCGCGCGAGTTGACGGCTATTCGGGTGTAACGCGCCTACGGGACCTGACGACCCGGCCCGGTTTGGGACGGAGGTCTCCCACCTGCACCAGGCTGGCGGCTGCGACCCATCTTGCTCAACACCGCGACGAGGGCCGCCCGCTAGCCGAGGCAGATGAGAAGGTTGTATATAGGTTTCCTCCTGGGCCACCGGGTTTTCCCTATATAGGTAACGAGTAGAGGCTCTAGAGCCTATAGGGACCATTTTGATGCGTTATATTTCTCTGCTGAGCCAGTGAGATAACTTAGCTAAACCTTAGTCCCCGTCGGCCCGTTTGCGGATGTACTGGGCGTAGACAGAATATATCAGGCCATCTGACTCGTCAATCACCTAGCAAACATTAGTTATACGAAATCTGCTGAGAAGCAAAGACATTCCTACATAATGAAGAGTGGTACTACTGGTACTTTGATCGACGGTTCCTCGGCTCCATTCAGTGTCGTTGGCTACGCGCCATTAGTCAAGGGTTCGCCCCCCGGAGACGACAGAACACACGATCTTGCAGGTAATACACCGTATCAGGGTAGGAATAGTATAACTTCTTATACGCCCCAGCAGGTAGAGGAGGTATGTTTTCCGGCGTTGGTGGTTGCAGTGCCCTTCTGCGAGGCATGGCTGATTGTTTCTGTTGTGCTGCTCGAGTGTTGTGAGACTGGCTGCCGGACTTCATACCATGCCCCACCCCCCTTTCGGTAACACCCACCTTTCGGTTCTGTGGCCTGTGCGTACCTTGCACGCGAAATTACCATCCAACCCCCTAATCTCCTTCCGCCTCCTGACGATGATTCTTCTCGTTATTCCTCCACCACATGACCAAAATGACCTTAAAGCGGCCTCGGAGTATTTATACGGAGGATATTATGGCTAATGCGATAATTGATGTCACAAAAAACGGCTTGTCGCAGTACCGCGCCGCCCAAAAGTATGACATACCTCAGCAGTCTATTTCCGACAGACTCAAAGGCCAGGTAGCCCTGGCTGATCAGATCCAGCCTCGTCAACTCTTGAGTAAGTCTCAGGAAGCTCGCTTGGTTTCTTGGATCCTCCGCCAAGAGTCTCTCGGCTATGCTCCCTCCCACAGTCAGATCCGCGCATGTGTGGAGGCTCTTATGAAGCAACTGAACAACGAGCGGACAGTGGGGCGCAACTGGGTCTCTAAATTCATCAATCGCCATCCGGACATCAAGAACAAGCGTGGAGACGTCAGGAAGCTAACCGATTTAATGCTTTTACGCCTCGTGCGGTTCACTGGTTCTTCGATATCAGGGAAAGGAGTATGGATGGATTAAACCAGAAAATACCGTGAATGTTGACGAAGGCGGTATTATGTCTGGCTTTGGTGAGTATTTGGCTTGTCTTTCATTACTTTTACTAACCAGACTCTTTTGCCAGGTTTGGATAGTCTTGTGGTTGGGAGTGCAGACCCAAAACGGAAGGCCCTTCTGAAAGGGCCACAGTCCCGCAACTGGACCTCATTTATTGAAGCTATCACCGCGGACGGCCGTGTCCTTACCCTGGCATTATCTTTAAGGGCAAAGAACTTCAGAAACAGTGGTTCTTGACGGAATTCGGCAAAATAGCCGACTGGCATTACATAACGTCGCCCAACGGATGGACGGACAACCATATCGCTATTGAGTGGCTTGAGAGGTCTATTTGCCCCAGACGCGACCAGCCGATGCCTCAGATGCTAGACTGATCATATTAGATGGACATGGAAGTCATGCAACGGTGCGTTTCTTTATCCACCTCTGTAGGAATTACCGTTAACCGGGACCAGGATGCATGGATGGCCACATGCTTTTTGAACAACGTTTATTGCTGTTACCTTCCTGCCCACTGCTCTCATGGCCTCCAGCCGTTAGATAACGGTGTATTCAATGCCTCCAAGGCAGCTTACCGGAAAGAACTTCAGAAATTGACCTGTTTGACCGATTCTGCGCCTGTTCATAAGGTCAATTTTATACGGGCATATGCTAAAGCGCGCGAGGTTGGAATGACGGCAAAGAATATATTGTCCGGCTGGAGGGTCACTGGGAATTGGCCGATCTCACGATCCAAGGCATTGCGGCATCCAGAAATTCACGCGGACATTGTAGAGACGTCTCCAAAGTCCGCGCCATTTTGGGTTCTGATGATACGCCAAGAAACAGCCGCCAGATTCGCGATTTCGGAAAGAACAAGACTCCTGGCACCCGGAGACGATACGCCGTGATAGCTAGAGGCTTTGAAGCCCAAGAACAGACGCTTGCCGAGCACAGCAACAGAATCGCGAAGCTAGAGGAAGAAGTGGCCCGGCTGCAGAGAGGCAAGAAGAGGAGAGCAATTCCGAACCCGAACAGACGGTTCATGACTCTCAGTGAAGCTTTGGTGGCTGAGGAAGCCATTCCCAAATTAAAAGCCAAGAGATAGCCGTTGTGCTGAATTCTGACACAGAGGAGGAGGCGGTCTCAGAGGTGGAGACAGCTTCAGTGATCGAAGTCAAGGTGGCAACCGAAGCCCTTCCAGTCACCACCAGATCCGGGCGAATGGTAAAAAAGCGCCGGTACATATAAGAGCGTCCATTTCTCTACGGAATGATATAATTTTTGTGTTTATAATGTTAAGTTCTGATCATATTTCATGTAGTTCAAATGGTAGACTTTTGGTGGAGAATTTTTCAATTGCGCTACCGAAAGGTGGGTGTTACCGAAAGGGGGGTGGGGCATGGTAGTGCGGGGCTCGGGGTTGTAAGCAGCCCCACCGTCTTCTTGTTGTTGCCTAAGGCAAGAATCTTTCCCCAACAAAATCGACGGGCGCCCATTTTCTTTATGCAATTCTGGGGTAAACACCACGGCTGAGCCTCGATGCCGGAGTCTATGCCTGCTGAACGCCGCAAGAGAGATATATTCTACCATGGCGATTTCAACCTTGTACAACTCCTTCATTTAGCAGAACGGTTCCGACATCAGCCATGTACTTGCGACGTATCTCAAGCCCCGATGTCCGGCGCTTTGAATTGGGCAATATTGTTGAAGTTCGATGACGGTGTCGAGTGGGTTTTCCGATCGCCCAGGACGAGATATGCTGTTGTTGGCGATACTGCCGCCTGCCGTCTTTTGGCTAGCGAGGCCGCTACGCTGAAGTATATCCGCAAACACACTTCTATACCTGTTCCAGAGGTGTTCCATTATTGGTAACTTTGTGTCTTCCAGCCTCAAGCCTAGGGATACTGCTGACATGAGCAAAGCGTGACCGACCAGAATGATATCGGAATCCCGTACATCCTTATGAGCAAGGCTGCCGGCAATCCTCTCGCAACGTACGACTGGCAAACGTATAACCATGAGCGCCCTAAGCCTGCAAGTCCTACAGACCCGGTACGGGCTATGACTCGGGACGAGAAGGGGAAGATTATGAGACAGCTTGGAAACTACGCGTGTCAGCTATTCCAATTACGGTTTGCTACAATTGGATCCCTCTTCGAACAGGATGGCGAAGATTACAACATCGAGGAGTGTCTCTCCCCCGGTCATGTTCTCCACGGCCGCGACGATATTGAAGATATCTCGCGTGGCCCGTACCATGGAGAGCCCGACTACTACTCCTCCCTCGTCTCTGCCCTTCTTCTACATGCTGAGCGACTCCCAATGGAACACCACATTCTCCTCGCGCCTGTTCCCATCCCCCAGGAGTACTCAGATTTCACCAAATATCGCTCTGCCGAGCGACGGTGGAACGACTACGCTGCTCTTGGTGGCAAGGCAGAGTCGAGCAAAAATCGCCTGCAATACAGCATTGCTAGCTATCTCATTCGCGACCAAATCATCCCTCACTTGACTCGGCCGAATATCCCGCGGATGTTCGGCTTTCCTCTGTCACCATGACCTCAGCACCCAGAACATCTTTGTTGATGGGGAATTCAATATCACATGCGTTATCGACTGGGCATTCTCGTCCACTGTTCCGCCCGTTCAATTACTCGGCACCCTGGTCTACCACACCCCGGATTTGGTGTTTGACTCGGCCTCAGTCGACGCCTTTCGGTCCGGGTTTGAAGACGAGAGCAGGACTATCGGCGGTTTTGTACCCGAGCCCAAGCACTGGACGATAGGTGACATGATGTCACATCTAATGCGCCTAGTGAACCTGGATGCCCTGCAGGATTACCACCACTTAGAGGCACTCCATCAACTTGCACTTAGTTGCTCCATTTCTCAAGATGGTGGCGGTGCCAACCATATTCGCGCGATCCTCGCTGGACTGGCCACAAACCCTGAGGCACTGGCGTTGGCGGAAGCACTGGCAGCTGACGACGAGCCCGAAAGCGAAGTCAAAAGGCGTGAGAGAGAGTATTTCAGTGCTGTCGGGCAGGGACGACTTGCATTGGCTCAGAAGATCACACTTGCGTCCGAACATAATCCCCTTTTCGTGGCAGACAGACGGCTTTGGCGATGGATAGAAGCTATCGATGAATACCCTGCGACTATGAATGGTCATACGCATAGGTCGCATGGCCACGAACGTGTCAACGACGTTAACTTTTCGAGCAAATGGGAGCGCATTGTTCAGCCACCTCAGCTACCAAAGCTCGCTCCAGCATCGGCGAACGGGGAGACGCAAAATACTTCCCATGTGGCAGACTCTCAGAAGCCAAAGCCGAGGAAAGCCAGTCCAGCAATGTCGGACCGCCTTCAGAAGAAGGTCAAAGTCACTAGAGAGTACATTTGTTCGACCAGCTCTAACGGGCGGCGAAACCCATAAGAAACCTGTAGCATCCACCCGTGAGGGCCCGCAGCACTAGGCACGGAGAGAAGGGCTCAAATGATGGACTGAACTTCACTGAAGTGTAACGTACTTGATAAGTGAGCTGGACAGACAAGTAAGCTGGACACCAATCCACACCCATGCGGCCATAACCATCAAAATCCCAATTCTAAACGCCTTAAATCAATTCAAATTAATTATATCTGTTTTCCTCAGACGTCTCTTATTTGCCGCATTGGTGACGAACTCAGGGCGCACCGCAAGGTTCACGCTATCAAGGCCATCGATGACTCCTTACCTTCTTTGCTAACCCGTCCTTTGGCTGATCTGGCGGCTGCGATGTTACCGGAAGCTCTGGGGTTGGTGGAAGAGCGACGACTATTTCGTCTAGAGTCCCTGGACTCTCTCGAGCTTTAGAAGGCACCCGCTGGGGCCGCGGCTTCTGTTGCGCACTTTCCCGGTTTACACCTTTGAGATCGTCTCGAAGTTGTCGACTGGCCGCTTTCTCTGCTTCTTGGCTTCTTTTCCTGCAATTTTCGCTCCCTTTTCTCCTCTCGCTGCTTCTTTCTTTCCAACGCCTGCTCTTTTGCTCCTCCGCCTTTTCTGTCGCTGAACCTCTGGAATTCCCTCTGGATTGCTTCCTCTTTCTTCTGGACCTCCATAGCCGCTTTCTTCACTCGAGCTTGAGCCACTTTTTGCGGGCGGAAGACCTGAGCAGAGTTAGGATCCGTACGGTCAAAGAGATAATCTTTCAGAGCTGTACCACGCTGCCTGCGCTGTTTCTCATGAATTATAGTCTCACGGAGTCCCTTGTTCTCATATCTGAGCAGCTCAACCTCGGATTGAAGACTTTCAAGAGTGCTCTTCAGCTTCTGAGCACTGACTTCAGCATTGGCGGTGGATTTATCGACCACTTTGTCGACAAGCCGTCGTAATTCTCGAGCGGTAGGTTGCTGCAATGCTAGGGGAGTCTTCCGAATCGCTGCCTGCATCGGAATCGTCGTATTCCTTCTTCACAATCTGTGACAAGACGACTTCGGAGTCCAAAGGCAGGAGGCCGGTCCGCATCCACCCGTTTGCGATGTTCTCCGGGGAGAAGGACGCCTCCAATGCGTTCAAAATCAAGGTCCAGAATTCGCGTTTGGACAGCCCAACAAGTCCTTGTGTTTTTGCCATCCACCGGATAAGCTGATTTGTATATGCCGTCGACAAGGGACCGAATAGAGATACGTCCAGGGGCTGGAGCCGATGAGTAGAATGAGGGGGAAACACCGCAACGATGATCCGATGCTGGTCACACCACTCCAGAAAGTCCGTATTAATATGGCTCGAGTGGCCATCGGTAATGAGAAGGCGATAATCGCGGCCGTTTCGCGCCTTTGCCTTAGTAAACCGATCAAAAACGCCGACAAGCCACTCTTTTCCAAGCTCGTGGTTGGTCCAGCCTGTATCCGAGGTCATAAAGAAGGCTGATTGATGCTCTGGGTCAAATTCCGTAAGCCAAGCATCCTGAACTTGTCCTGGCTTGCCTTGGTAGATGAGAAAAGGAGGCAGCGATGTCATGTCCTGACAGATGCAAGCTACGAACGTGATCCAGGATCGATTGCCGTCTTGCGATGCACCGAGCAATTTGCCTTGCTTTTTCTGATTGAGAGAGAACACTCTCTTAGTTCGGTTGATGACACCCAAGAGAAAGCCTTTTTCGTCCATGTTATACATACGTGTTGCAAGGGCGATGTCGTATTCCTCAATTTTTGAGCGTAACTTCTACCGTCAGCAACGGAAATGAGATGCTGCTGTGCATCAACTTACCAGCTCAAAATAATCTCTATACTTTGAAGCACTGTCGGCTCTCTTTCGCGCCACATCAAATCCATCGAACCAGGTACAACCAAGCTCGTTACGATGGCGGTTGACGAAGCTATACGGCCAGTTCTTTCCTACCTTCATTTTCGCCATATCCTGAGCGAAGTTCTTGATCATAGACAGCGTAGGCGGGATGCCACGTGACGAAAGCTTATGAATATAAGCAACAAGATCTAGTTCCTGCTGTTTTGAAAGTCGAGATTTATAGAGGGAGTCCGCATCGCGTCTTGAGCGCTGTTTGCCTTGATGGCGGCGCAACGTGGTCTCATCGCAGCCAAATTGGCGAACTGTTTCAGCGTAATTGACCGATTCTGAGGACTTCAGGAAAGCAAGCGCTTCGTCAATAGCCGCCATGGTTGTTGAGACGTTCCAGATTGATGTTGAGACAGAATGTCGGTAGGTAGGTAGGTAGGATTTATTTCGTCCCTATAAGGCCTTTACACAGTCCAGAGTACAGTTCAGCACGTTTTGTTCCTTGACTCCCAAGCCCCACAGATCATCTTACGCTGCGCCAACCGTACCACTGTCTTGCTCCATGACAGACCTGCTTGAAGGTCAATTTCTCCAAGTGTTTAGCATCCTATTCCCAGCAACTGAAGCGCGATGTGTCGAAGTTGAAGCGTGGTTGTGTTAGTCATTGATGGTGGTTGGTACGCCGATTGTGTTCTCTCATGACGCTGTTCCCTGTTGACGGGCGGGAACCCGGTGTACCCTGTTCGCTCAGGGGTGCCTCCAGACGGCTTCGAACCGACCCCTCTGCGACGCAGAGGCTCCAGACGTGTCACCACTACGCCATGGAGGCTGTGCGAAGTCGTCGCAATCCGGCAGATCACCAGATCCGGCAGATCATCGGAAAATCCCTTAAGTGGTAGTAGATATAAACAGAATAAGGAGTATATTGGAGAAGTTTTGACTGGATTGTCTTTGTGAAAAGGTGAGCAAGAGGAGAAGGGAATGTCCTATTCGAGCCTTTCGCACCTTGCGTTTGAGTATGATGAAACATGTTCTATCGCACGGAGGATGAGCAAGTGGGCATAAAGATCAGGGACTGGAAGACTCTTGATTCTGCTATCTAAGGTGGGAAAGAGGCGAGATCTTTATAGACTGCCTGAATATGAGAATGGAAGGGAATGGTAGTGAATGGAAGCATCTGATCGGATCATCTGGAAGCTACTGATGCGTTGATGATGCCTCCTAGAAGTTTCTGTGGGGAAATGTGGAAACGGACTGTGCGAATAGGGGGTCAGACTGTTGGAGGCTGATATCCTATGTGTGACATGTTCCTTGTCATGTTGTGTTGTTTCGTTCGATGCTTTACAGAATATTCTTGGGCGGATGTCGGGCGCGGTGCGGTCGGGAAGAGATCGACGTGGGAGGTCTGATAGAGCCAGGGGTGGATGTGTCTGGGTGATTGACTGGGTCGGTGTCTGTCTCTGACTCTGCGGGGTCTTCCTGAGACAGAACGGAGGAAGTGTCAGATTTGGCGGAGCCTTGACTATTACAGGCGGCGACTATGGTGGAAGTTTCGGGAGAAAGTCGCGGTCTCTTGGTTGGGGTTTGGTCGGGATCGGGCAGGACTTCGCCCACGGCGACGAGGAGTCCTGCCATCGGAGGAGGTGTGTATGGGAACTGCTCCGCCGACAGGCATTATCGGAGAGGCTAACTCGCCCCCCCTCACAGGGCAGCCGTGCAGCACCTAGCGCTTTTCGTGCCGTGGGAGTCCTTCCTATGCGAAGAAACAGGCGATATCAATGGCATCTGGGCGCGGGCGCGAGAGGCGCGGGCGCGAGAGGCGCTGGCTCCCAGAATATCATGTCTCGTCGACCACGTGCAGCTGCTCCGACGATCAGCTGAAGACGCAAAGCGTGACGCCAAGCAATGGGCAGCCTCGTCCAGCGATGGCGACCCCACGGTCGCACACGTGGAGAAGGGTGGGGCGAGCGAGGCGGGCGCGGGCGCGGGCGCGGGCGCGGGCGCGGGCGCGGGATCCGCAGCGACGTATCAGTCCAACAGCATCGGAGACGCAACGCGGCTGATCGACGTCGTCCGAGGTGCAGTGGGCACGAATCAGGTGAAGGCCAAGTCGCCGGAGCTCACGGCAATGATGCAGCAGCTCTGTCGATTCCAGCAATCGGCGCTGCGCTCGACGGCCGAGCTCGCGGCCACCGTGATGACCGAACGAGGGGAGAGGCGGATAAGCATGCCAGGGCGGATATTTTCCGGGGCCGCACTACCACCGCAGGATCAGGTCAAGGCCATCAAGTCGCAGCAGGCAAGTGCCTCGGAGGAGAGGGAGCGGATGATCCAAGGCATACAGAGCACACCCGTGGCCTGGGGAAGCGACCGCCGCGCTGCGTTGCGGAGAGTGATGACTGGCTTCGGGGAGGACGAGATCGAAATAACGATGGCAGACTCCGACGAGACCGCTAGCGACGTAAACGCGGGAATGCGCGTCCTGTTCGGACCATCAGCCTCCTTCTTCGCGGCGGGCAGGGGGTTGGCAACACGGTTGACGCTGAATAAAAGGCAGTCGATCGCTTTCCTAATAATATGCCGCCAGCTCGATTTGATGCGACGAAGCGACAGGTGCGATGCCGGCCAGCTGTGCCAGTTCGTCGGCGACGAGGGGGGTACCGGCAAGTCGTGAATCATAGAGGCACTCGTCGAGCTGTTCAGTAGGAAGAGCCTTTCGAATCGTCTGCTGATCACGGCGCCGTCAGGGGCTGCCGCGGCGCGGATCAATGGCATCACGATCCACTCCGCCTGCGGGTTTAGCAAGGACCAAGGGGCGGGCGCGAACACGGCCAAAGATCTCGACGGGGTGCGGCTGCCAAAACGGACGGAGCGGTTCATCCACGGGCAGTCTCGGATGAGCTGGCACGAGAAGGACGTGCTCGTCATCGACGAGGTGAGCATGCTCGGATCACGGACGCTGCACGCCGTGAACGAGCAGCTCTGCCGGCTTCGCGGATCGCCGGAAGATTTGGGGGGGATCCCCATCGTTCTCTTCTGCGGGACTTTCAGCAGTTCCGGCCGGTCCAAGAGAGGTCGATCCTCCTGCCGAGCGCGGCTTTTCGTGGGACGTAGACAACTCGTTCAGGGCCGAGCAGCGGCACCAGCACGACAAAGCGCACGCGCTGTGGAAGAGGTTTACGACGGTCGTCATGTTGGACGAGCAAATGCGAGCCGCCGGGGATCCGGAATTGCAGGGGCTGCTGAAGCGAATCCGACTGGGCGTGCAGGACCGCACGGATCTATACCTCCTCAACTCAAGGTGCTACCGGGAGGGCAGGCGGATCCCGTGGGAGGCGGGCATCACCGTGGTGACGCCGCTGAACCGGAATCGTTGGAACCTAAATATGGAGGCGAGCTTGTCGTTCCGGGTAGCAACAGTCGATGATGCGCATCTTCATCTCCGAGCATAAGTGGAAAGAGGAGCTGCCGACGGAGAAGGAGGCGATCATGATGCTCAACCAGGGCGACGACAGCGCGATCCCGGTGCCGGCCATCTTCATGTTCGTGGCCGGGATGCCGGTCGTCGTGAACCACAACACCCATCAGGGGCTGAAGCTGGTGAACGGCGCCAGCTACTCGGCGGTGGAGGTCATTGTCGACAAGGCGTACCCGGGACATCGGATCTCGGCCGACATGATGCTTCACTTCTGAGCCTGCCCTCGCAGTCTCCGACAACGGTCCCGCAAGACCAAATAGAAAGACAAAGTAACTGTCGCGCCTGGAAGTCCCGCTGACGGGAAACAGGCTGAGCAAAGAAGTGCCTCTGAGCCGATGAAATGCTGGATGATGGTTTGTTTACGTTCTGCGGGAACAGATGGCATGGGTGTTTTCACGGTCTGTGGGCCGCCCTATTTTCACTGTATAAGTAGACTGTAGACTTCCAGCAGCTCAGCATGTCCTGTGCCCCGTCTCGGGGACCTGAGCGACCTGAAGGTCGCTGGACGAAAAATACACACACACACACACACATGATGCTTCACTTCGGGCCGCCGGCGGGGATCATTCTCGAATCGGAGACGACAAAGGGCCTCCACTTCGTCGGGATGCCGCCGGGCACGATCTTGCTGACGCCGATGAGCGTCAAGATAGACTGCCAACAAAGCGGCCGTGGCAGCAGAACGACGTCAGCCGGAAGGGTTTGCCGTGCGCAGCAGCCTTTCGCGTGCACGGACTATAAGGTGCAGGGCCGAACGCTTGAGCGCGTGGCCTCGAGCTGCGAGGGACACGGACGACGAAGATCGATGGAATGGTTGTGCCTCGCAGTGCGACCCGTACAGCTTGTACGTGTAGCTATCGCGCTGCCGAACTCCAGACGGCATCATGCTCGTGTCCAAGGTGCGGGAGAGAGACCTGGTGGGCCAATCAGAGGCGGAGAATTCTGAGGGTGAAGCAAGTCTGGGGCCTTTTTTCCCCGCGCGCTAATGAAGTCCTTTCGTTCCTCAAGACATCGTTCCTCAAGGCAAAGGCACAAGGCAAGGGCATTCCGTACCCACACACGCTTGACCCTGGGCCATTCAATACTTACAGACTACTCTTTACTCGTGCCCGACCCCACTTTTTCGGATTTCGCTTCGTGTCAATCCGAAAAAGTGGGGCGGGCAAGATTGATAGGGGGCCTCAAAGTCGGCCAATCCCGTGACAGCTCCACAGTCACGGGGGCGGTTGACCTAGAAAAAGCTCGTTGACCTGAAAAAACTGGGTACTTCAATTAGTGTGCACGCATCATACAATAAAAGTAGACATGTTTAAGATCATATCTACCATAGTTACAATTCGACCCCATATACCCCTATGGCAATAATTCAGAACCCATTTCACGATGGCGTCATAACACTCCATTTTATCGTCACGTCACTATCTCAATAGTCATCGAGGAAGGCCAATTCTTTGACTATGGCTTCTTCAAAAGCTAAAGAGTCTGCTGTCCAAAATGGATCGATTCTGCTACCGGCTTACCCAACTTTTCGCGCCATACAACCGCAAACCTCGAGACGCGAACTATTGCAGGAGCAGAGCTCTACTACGAGGGCTTCTACGGCTCAATTGTGGCCGCGGCGAAGGCGCTTGGCGTGCCCTACAAGCGCCTCTATTATCGAGTCAATGGGCATCACTCAACGGCCGAGAATGGGGGCAACCGTGCCCTGCTTGATTCCTCGGATGAAGAGGAGGTATTTTGCGGGGCACATCGCCGCATCACACAGGGGCACCACATCCAGGGTCGTGCGCTCCAACAACACGCCAACGCCATTCTCAAGGCAAAGGGCGTGGAGCTACAGCATCGCGAGCCTGGGCCAAGCGCTTTATACAGCGGCATAGAGAACTCTTCCACCGTCGAAGAGCAGCAGCGCGAGACATCAAACGGAAGGCTATGCAAGATCGCATCCACGTTGAGGCTTTTTTTCGCGGCTGGTCTCAAACGATCGAGAAAGACGAGATTCTCCCTAAGAACACCTGGAATTTCGACGAGACAGGCTTCATGGTGGGATATCTACATAAAGGCACATTTATTTGGACCTTCCGCGAGATTGATACCCCTATTTTATCTGACGCTCACGATACAGTGTCGGTCACAGCGATTGAGGCTATTTCTGCAGCTGGGAGTTGCATTCCTTCGTTTGTGATACTCCTGAGTCCAAATTCCTGCCCGTTGGGTTACCAACAGCCTTGACGACGATACCATCATTTCAACCAGCCAAAAGGGGTATATTAACGATGTCATCGCGATTGAATGGATCAAACACTTCGAGAAACACACGAGACCGGTTGATCCACTTCAGAAGCGGCTTCTACTTATGGATAGCTGTGATAATCACTATACAGAAGAGATGGTTCACTTCTGCTTCGATCACAACATTAAGGTCTTCCCAATGCCTCCCCATCTTACACATCAGCTTCAACCTCTTGATGTCGGCGTTTTTAGGTCATACAAACACTGGCATCAACAAGTTCTACATCGTGAGATTGCTGACGGGGCATATGACTTTAACAAGTCCGATTTTCTATATCATCTCCAAGAGGTCCGCACTCGCACCTTCAAAAGCACACAATTCTCTCATCTTGGCAGAAATGTGGCCTCTTCCCATTCAATCCCGGATCGTGCTCTCCCAGCTTCAAGACACGCTCTCGTCGCTCACAGAAGAAGTGGCCATTAAGGACCTGCCGGGCTCGATCGAAAGCGAGCCTCAGGGCGGGCCTCAGGCAGCAAGACCATCAACACCATCGCCACACACGCCGCCTCGATTCAACGATTCAACTGGAACAATGTTTCAACGCCGAGACTCAACCTCTCTACGATTCAGAGGTATCACGCCTACGTACAGCTTCGTCTAGCCACATCAGTTGACTCCCACATGCCGTTGACTCCTCCGTCACATACGTCTATGAGAAGGCGCGGAAAGCCGACAAAACCTCGCTCTCAACGGCATCACCGCAACGGCCGAGATGACGAAGATAAAAGAGAAACAAGCCAAGCGCTCCAGTCTCCAGCAACAGACAACTATTGTAGCGAGATACGGCCCATTAAGCGACGGTGACGCTAGAATTCGAGTCGCCCGAGACGAATACAATAGACAAGCGGCACAAGAAGAGGAGGCACAGAGAGTCAGGAATAAGGAGGTTCGCGACGAAGCTGGCTATATACGCCGCTGGCTTCGCAAGGTACGCTTCAACGTCAGGATTAGCATCACAGAGGCGAAGATTCGAGACATCAGAGGTCTCTGGGCCAAGGGCGACAAGCGCGCACACCTCAATTGCAATGAGTGGATGTGCGCAAGCTACAGGATTCTCCGCGAGCTACACAACCGCGGCGTAGGGCAAAGCAAGGCGATCATGTGGCCGGAGTACTATGATCGCGAGATTGTAAAGGAAGCAGCCGAATTAGTGGTGATGGAGGCAAATAAGCGTGCTATTTGCCGTCAGACGCTTTCCTTGGAAGCTGACGGCATCGAGATGCGATAAAGAGGAATCATAAGACGCGCTCGAGGCTGGGAAGGAAGAAGAAATCGAATAGAGCTCAATTCGATGCCAAAACACCAAAAACACCTCAAAGGCAGTATGGTGATGCATTTGCATTGCTATGACTAGCTTGCAATAAAGCGAACATGTGTTGCACTTATCGAGGGAAGAGAGGTACTTTTAAGTTCTAGCAAAATGGCGGGGCTCTTATGTACTTCTTTTTTTCCAGTCAACGAGCTTTTTCTAGGTCAACCGCCCCCCCGTGACTGTGGAGCTGTCACGGGGATTGGCCGACTTTGAGGCCCCCCTAGTAATGGGAGTGGTTATCCGTACAACACATTTTGGTAAATGTACAACAAAGGCGGGGCAGACGTGGCGCCACCTTTTTCTATTGGCTGGCTCTATACGCCACAGTACGCCACAGTCAAAATGTATAGAAGGTACTTAGTACGTGCGCATCACCCGCCTCTCGCGCAATACGACATGGCAGCAGGCAGGCTATAGCCTTGTGAGGCTGCAAGCCGCCTGATTTGTATGGCCTCTGCTTGTGTGCCCTCTTCTTGTATAGCCTTGCAACACTCTGCAGGCTTCACAACGTCTGGCTGTTATGGCCTTGCAACCTCTGCCTGTGTGGCCTTGTGTAAGTGCTATGCCTGCATGCCTACGACCTTTGGCCATGTATTAGGTACACCCAAGCCACGTTTACTCCACTTTCTGTTGTACATTTACCAAAATGTGTTGTACGGATAACCACCCCCTTGATAATACTCTGCTCCCTTTCATCCCTTCCCCCACGTGACCTAATACCGAGGTTATGGCGTGCCCCCACTTCGAATCTAAGATTTTCCTGCCAGACGCATCCATGCCCAACCCCTCCTTCGCCACCTCCCCCAACCATGTCGTCGATCTGATCACGCCCATCCCAAAGGACTCTACTATCCTTGGTCGCGATCCAAAATCGGGAGACTTTGTGCAGCTTGTGACGCTCAAATACTGCCGCCTCATCTTCAACGATAATCGTCGTTCGCCTCCAATTCGCAACGCTCTCGACCAGACCGCGCCGGGCGCCGAAGGCTTCCATCAGTCACGATCCTTAAATTTTGCTTTCTTGAGTGCAAAGATCAGATTCCGATGGTCTGTTCCCTTCTGTAAATCAGGATTCGCCTAACATGATCATCAGTCATTTGAGATACAAGATCTCACGAAAGACGAAAGTTTCTTCAGCGATGCTGGAAAACTCCCACCACAATTGATGGATCAGGCCAAATGGTGTACTGGAGGAACTCCTTCATACAAATCTATAATACTGGCGATACAAAACCCTACGAAAGCCCACGAGACCTGCGATGGGAGGGACGGTGCCGAAGGGCACTAGTCTTTTGTTTGGCGGCAGGGATGGGAGGGTGAAAGAAGGAACTTGAGCATCCACACCATCAAACATACAATTTCTTCCTGATCTGAATTCCTTCCCATAACCCCAGAGATACGAAGATGAGAGCTCCGTCGTGAGCTTGGTGCGAGATTACCATTGATACGCAGTCTGTACTGTCGCGCCATTGCCTGGTTTCATCCTGATACAGAGGGCTTGCTGTGATTGCATTGGATATATCGGAGCCAAAAGTGGACAGAATAACGTTGCGCCGACACCCTGGAATGTGAATTTGGGGTTGGGCAGTATTTTCGAGCAGCCGCCGGCGAAACACACATACCGAAGTCCGGCCTCGTCTCTAAGCGCACCTCGAATAATTCTCGTGCAAGATGCTGTACCTTGTCGTCTGTGACTTCCAGTGCCATCTGACATCCAAATTTTTCCGTGAACGGCGCATTGGGAAATGTCATTGATATGGCGGCAGCCAGAACGTTTCCGTCTATTGGGTCATGATTTCTCTTGATACCGTTCGAGAGGTCTCGTGGAAAGAGGCGCGTAGCATTGGCGAGGGACGCATTGACAAGCACATGTTCATTTTCGGCGAAGCAATAGGATAGGTCGACAGAAGAGCATAGCGACGTTTGATCTGGCACATGATCGAGAGACAGTTCCGGCACGTTTGGCGTCGTGGTCGGGCTGCGCAGATTGGCAGGGGAAGGTGGTGGACGATCATCACTGTCTATTATACCTGTTCCGTATTAGAAGGCTCACTGGGATATGGCCGACGACTCACTGCGTCTTTTCTTCGAGTCATGGACCATGCTTCCATTTTGAAGCGGTTTGATCCTTTTGTGATGCAGACTGTTGATTTTCTGAGCTACTTCCGGTCCAATCGCGGCGGCAACTTGTGCCGCCAACAGTTTCCGAGACGCGACAGACTCAGTCTCCAGATCACTGATCAAACGAGAACACTCAGCTTTCCCATGGAAATGATACCGGGTTTCTGCAGCGTTCTTGGTGAGAAAATATGCGAACCAGGCTGGGAATTTGCCTTCGTCTAGGAATATTCTTGCGGTTGAACACTCTCCAGCTTGTTGGGTTTCTCGCCACGACTTCATGAACCCTTTAGGCGCGCGCTCATAGTTGCTTAGCTGGTTGAAGAGCAGTGCGACTCGGCTTGTCTGAGGCCCGTTAACGCTGGAGGTCAACTGTGACGGTACAAGTGCACGAACAAGGTCGAGTGCGACTTGGGTAAAGTGATTGTCTACAAGAGAGAAAGAGGTTCCTAAGGAAGACTCTGACTTTCGCTATTTACATGAATAAAAGCGGGACCTTTCATAAAGTATGAAAGTCACATGATCGTTCCCTCACACATGGGCCTCCTTTACTCCATCGCTTCTGATTCTTCCACGTCTTGCTGAGCCTGTAGGCGAGCATTTTGCGCTTCTTGTTTCGTCGGTCTGGGTTTGTTTTGTTGTGCTTCTCGAACTCTTTGATGGCGATGTGAGCGTTGACGACGTTGTGTAGTGGTTCCCATGTTGCCTGCTCAAGGTCGAAGCCTCTCCATAGTATATGGTACTGGAAGCCTTTCTGTTTTGTGCGTTTCGAGTCCAGTATTTCTTCAATCGCCCAGAGTTTCTCCCCTTTGCATCTAGCGTTATTGGTGGGGCGGTGTGTTGTATTGGCCGGGGCGGGTCGTTTGGTGACGGTCGCAGGAGGTTGGTGTGAAATGAATTGTGAATTGAGTCTAGTTCATGTGGCAACTTCAGTTGGTAGGAGTGAGGGTTGAGCACGCGCTCGATTCGAAAAGGGCCAATGAACTTGTGATCTAGTTTTGGGATGGGTCGGGCTGAATCAATGTTGCGTGTGCTAAGTAGCACCATGTCTCCAACTCGGTAAGCTGGCGCCGGTGATCTATTTGCGTTGGCGAACTGCTCTTGTGAGGCTTGAGCTGAGAGCAGGTTTGTCCGAAGTAGATCAGTGATTTCTTGCATCTTGGCGACAAATTCGTTCCCCTCGTTGCAGCGTTCTGCCAGGTCTTTGGATGCCGCGAGTGGTATTGCGCGAGGGGGGACCAAAGCTCATTCGGGGGGTGATAGCCTGTGTTCGCAAAAAATGGGGACATTCCCGTTGAATCGCTGACAACGTTACGGGCTGCGAATTCGGCCAATGGGAGCCACTCGTCCCAGTCGTCCTGAGCAAAGCTAACATATTGGCGAAGGTATTGTTCGAGAAATGAGTTAGCGTTTTCCGTCTGGCCGTCAGTTTCGGGGTGATATGCTGTAGAAAGGCTGATATTGATCCGTAGACGGTGGCAAACCGCTTTCCAGAATTCCGAGACAAACAGTGGTCCTCTATCAGACACGATTGAATCCGGTAGTCCATGGAGTTTCCAGACATCTCGTACGAAGAGTGTTGCCAAGTCATGTGTTTTCATGTCGGTCTTGCAGGGCGTGAAATGTCTGTCCTTTGACAGCCTATCGACTACCACCATGATTGCGTTGAATCCACGAGCTGTGCGCTGAATTGGGCCAATGAAGTCAACGGATAAGTCTCTCCATCTTTGCAAGGGAATTGGGAGCGGTTTCAATGTCCCCTGGTACCGCAACTGGGAGGTTTTGTTCCTCAGACATCCGTGGCAATTGCGTGTGAATTGTTTCGTATCGGCGCTAAGCTTTGGCCACCAATAAGAGCGTGAAATGAGTTCGTATAGCTTGTTTTTCCGGGTGGCCTGATTCGACGCTGTCATGGGCGAGTTGAGTGAGAAGGGTCCGTAGTTCGCCTGCGGGTACGTATAGCCTCTCTCGGAAATATAATCGGCCTTCGTTTATCATGCATTCCGATAGAGAAACTTCCTTTGAGTGGGGAATTCCATGGGGTTTGAGCATCTCGTCCCTGATTTTCATCCACCATTCGTCCTCCTCATAGCCCTTGTCTAGAAGTCTTGTGATTTTGTGGTTGATTGGTTCTGGCTGAATTTCGTCAAGAATGGCGGGACATAGTGCAATCTCTTGTTCCCAGGAGAGATTTGCAAAGAGCTCTGAGAGCTCGGGGTCAAGCCTTAGTTGTTCTTGTACAGAGGAGTCTATGTTGGAAGGCTTAAGCAGCGACTGTTGTTGGTACTGGATGCGGTCGTCATTTTCATCTTTCGGTAAGTCTTGTGATCTCCGTGTGAGTGAGTCAGGCTTTCCGTTCTCTTTCCAGGCACTGACTTGATAGCGAATTGGAACTGTGATAGGAATTCGCTCCACCTGACTTGTCGTCTTGAAAGTTGCTTGGTTGTCATGAAATATCGAAGGTTGGCATGGTCAGTGATGACTGTAATCTGGTGGTGTGTGCCTTGGAGTTCGGGTTTCCAGCATTCGAAGCAGCGTACAATAGCCAAAAGTTCTTTGTCATATATCTCGTAATTGCACTCAGCGGGTCGTACTTCTTGGACATGAAAGCCACTGGGTGTAGCACTCCTTGATCGTCTTCCTGGGAGAGAATACCCGAAGACACAAAATCGGACGCGTCGCATTCGACAAACACTTCTCTTGCGGGGTCGAAGTGTCTGAGGATTGGCGCTGAAGTGAAGCTATTTTTGAGCATATCGAATGCTTCTTGGCAAGATGAAGTCCAGTTCCATTTGACTAGCTTCCGTGTCAGGGCAACAAGTGGTCGTACGATGCGTGAAAATCCCTTGATGAACCGTCTGTAGAAATTTGAGAATCCTAAAAGGCTTGGACATCTTTGACATTGATAGGGCCTCCCAGTTGATGAGACAGTTGACTTTCTCTGGGTCCATCCGTACTCCAGTGGTTGAGATGATCATGCCCAGGTATTTGACTTCAGTAGTCTCGAATTCGCATTTCTTGACGTCAAGTTGTAGGCCTGCGGCTTCAAGTGCTTGGAGTACTGATTTGACGTGGAGTCTGTGGGTGGCAAGGTCGTCTGAGTAGATGAGAATGTCGTCGATGTAGGCCGTGCAATATCTATCAAGGAATGGGCGTAAGACTTCGTTAATTCGAGCTTGAAAGGTAGCCGGGGCGTTTGATAGTCCAAAGGCATCACCATGCTCTCGAAGAGACCATATCTTGTGTTGAACGCCGTCATCCATTCCTGACCCTCCTTGATGCGGATTCGATTAAACGCTGCGACGACATCGAGTTTGGTGAAATACTTGGCTTGGCTTAGCTGGGAAAGGTCTCCTGGATCAACGGTAGGGGTAACGGTTCTTGATGGTTATCGCGTTAAGAGCTCGGTAGTCCACGCAAAAACGAAGGCCCCTCCTGGTTTCTTTGCAAATAACACTGGCGAGGCTGCCGGTGAGGTGCTAGCGCGTATGAAACCCTTATCAAGGTTTTCCTGAAGGAATTTCCGGAGGACGAGAAGTTCGTCTTGTGACATCCCGTACAGAGGTCCATGTGGTGGAGTCGTTCCAGGTTGAAGTTCAATTTCGTGGTCGCAGTCTCGGTGTGGGGAGTTTATCCGCTTCTGATTGGTCGAATGCTTTCAAAAATTCATGGTAGTGTTGGGGTACTTTTGTTGCAGGATCGATCAAAGTCTTGGGTTCGAGGGCTTTGTGAATGTCTTCGAGTGATGCCCTGAAAGGTACATATCGGCTGCCGTTTTCCGGGAAGCTCGGAGTTCCTGTGTTTGTTGGTCCTTGGGGTCAAGGGAGGTGATTCCGTCCTGTAGCTGGAGTTCTCGGTTCATCTTGTCCATGTCTGTGAGTGCAGAGTCGAATCGGACCCTTCGGCGTGCTTTAGGTTCTACGAAGGTGGAGGCTTCTGTGATGACTCCAAGTTCAGCCAGCC